TGTACAAAATTTAAAGTTTTTTTGATTATTAAAAAAAAAATTAAAGATTGAAAATGACAGAAAATTTGCATTACTTTTTTTAAAAACTCAATTTCCATTTCGAAAGTTTTACGACATTGACGATTTGATTCGTCTGCATTTATTGTGAATAAATTTCAGCACTCAACATTATGAAGCGTTGCTTGCTGTGTCAGAGATATATCTAAATGCTAAAATTCTTTATAAAATCACATACATACTTGTAAATATCAACATTGCCTTCGTAAAATAGATGATGGAAGACATTGACAGCATCAACTGCCAAAGGTCCATTTTGCTTGTAGCCAAAAACTAAATCAATCCACTGATGAAGATTTTGTGACACAAACTCACACTCAAGTGCTTGTCGATGAACTCGAATAAATTCACGAGGGTCGTGTTTAGCCCATGGTGGTAAAACAACATTACCAAGTTGAGTACCGTTTTGTTTGAAACCTTATTAAAAAAATTTTAACAAATAAATAATGGTACATACAAGTCGTACATAACTATTTATTATATCAGCTAATATTACCTAAATCGAAATTATTTGAGTTTATTAAAAAATCGGGTAGATAAAAAAATTCCGGAATTAGTTCCTTTACATCAGCCATGTTATGTTTTGATGCTGAAAACCATGCTTCTTTTATACTGTGAAACATTCTATCAGCTAAATCAAAATGGCCTCCCTGCGTGGAAGAAAAAATATTATTTTAAGTTAATAAGAAGATAATTAACTTAGTAAGTTTATCTTTTTTTACTTGGAGCTTTAGAAAATGCTGTGTAAATGGTTCCATTCGAACTAAATATGAGCATACTATCATAGCAGAAGAGTAATGAGTTCCATAATGATATGGTGGAGTTTCTCCATGTGGATCATCCCATTCTTTATACCTAAATTAATAACAGGGACCAAATTAATAAAAAACATCAATTTTTTGTACATTAAACAGTAGTTTTTCTTGAGCACCAACCTTTTTTTAAATTGCAGAAGTCTTTCAGGATTTTGCGAGCCCATTGGCTTACTAAAATCACGAAAAGTCTTTGTGTCTGTTAAATCAAGATCGTCACTATCATAATCAGCTAAAATCCATGGAAAAACTGGATACTGCATTAAATCATTGTAACTACGACCTGCTAGCGTATTTAAATGCATTAAATACTGAAAATTTGATATTTCTCCTCTCTAAAAGATATTATTGTATGGTGAGCTTGATAAAGACTATTATTATATTATGTAAACTTATTGAATAACTTTCAAGTACGTACCACCCAACGCTGAGTAACTGAAGTATCACCAATAAGACTTGAAAGTAAACCAGCTGCTTGCTCAACATTCGCAGTTCTTTTTTGACCAGCAACTGATTGTTGCGCACTATCAGCAATCGCTGTGGCAAACGTCATGAATCTCTGATAAACTTTATTACGTACTTTTCTTGGAAAAGTTAGCAAGTAATTTCGACCGTCTGCACTAAATACTTCAAGGGCCATCGGTTGCAGTAAGTATCTTCTTTTATGAACCTCTCTATATAATGCACATAAATTATCGTTAATGGTTTTTTCTATAACGAATATAAATTATTTAAACGGTATATCCGTCAAAAATAATAAAAACAGCAAAATGAGTTCAATCAATAAATTTTTCATTTAGTATTGAATTCAGTACCCAAATTTTAATAAAAATATTTAAAATACAATTTTTAAATGGTTATAAACATGTAAATAATTTTTTAATGGTTTTAGTTTAGATATTAGAAAAAACATATATCTTCATAGCTTTTAATTTGGCGAATTTCGAGGAAACTATCAGATCTAGTTGACTTTAAGTGTTTCTAATTAATCAACTAATTTTATGGAGAAAGTATTGTGCAGGCTAATTACTTTAACGTAAGATTCAAACTAGTACTGCATTAATATTTTAAAGTAAAATCAGACACATTCGCACCAGAAAGTCAGTAGATACATTTTTTTTGCAATACGGTTGAGTAGGCTTCACAAATCATCACAATTTTCTAGGGTAGCGCAGCAGCTATGTTTTTTTAAAAACCTTTTACTCTGAATAATAGTATTTAAATGGCGAAAAGTAGAGTACATAGTATTGAGGTTCCTCTTTTGAAATAAATCGATTTAGTCGACTTAGCTTGACTTAGTTTAGTTAATTTTTAACTAAACGTGAAAGAAAATTGTGATATTTAATCCATTTCTTTTTGTCGATGTTTTCAATTAAGGTTTGGCAAAACAAAACTGTTACTAAATTTTTAGCCCATAACTTTCTTTGCCTTACACAATACTTTTGGATAGAACAAGACCTAGATGAGTAATATTACTGAATTCAGTTAAAAACGAAAAATGGCTCGTGAAAATTTTAAGCAGTCTTCAGAAAAGTAGAATAAGACAAGAGATTGACTTACTAAAAATTATAGTAGAGGCTGTTAAAGGCAGAAAAACAAGATTCTTATGGAATCTGCAAAAAGTTAAAAAGCACAGCAGATCACAAAAAAGAAGACACCAAAAGGCAATAGTTACATGTAACTTATTTTTATTATAAGTCGGAGCCTAAATCTCCTATATAGAGTGAACAGTGAAAGAATAAATTGGTTAGAGAATAGAAAAGCGAAAAGTTTTTATTAAGCAAAAAGAAGAAAAAATGTTAACAAAAATACTTTTTTCAATGGTTATAGACTTGCAATGCAAGTAAATATCATAAAATTTTAAGCATATTTACGTGTGTAAGGTTCTATTTACTAAACAGGTTAGTGGTCTTGAGCTAACCAGCTATGATCAGGCTTGTAAATTAATAGGGTACACATTTTTTAACGTAGATTTTTGAGAGGTAGAACCTCTAGCAAGATATGAAGATACATAAATTGTAATTGGTTACTATCTAACTAATATATCAAGTAAAGCTGCTAAAACCATTGTAATCGCTAACCGCAAAAACTACTCAACCGAGTTTGCTGAAATTTTGCATACTGATTCTTGACACTTCCTACACGATTATGTTACAGTTTTTATCTTAGAAAATTTAGTAACAATAGCAATAAATAAGCTTAACGTTTTGCAAAAATACCCCAGCTATTCACTTTAGTTCAGTAGGATCCGCTAGGTGGCGTCAACGTAAAATTGAAGCTAGCTGCAACAGAATAAAATAAGTATGATTATAATACGCTGGAGAGTCTCCAAAATTTCTGCAGTCATCTCCCAGCAGTTCATCGAGCTGCATAGAAATTGTAAATGATAGTCGTGCAGCTGGGTATCCTAATTACAGACGACACTCTTTTCCAATAAGCAAAAAAGCTATGTCTACTTCTACCCTAAACCTCTAGGGTTGATACAATCCAGCAATAATAAATTATTGTAACTGATAACGTCACCAACGGAATACCAGGACACGTAACTAGCCAGAGTACAACATTTTCAAACACTTCAAAGTTATGTGGACGTTCCACCATCCCGCCTAAAGTCGTCAGAGAATTTTTTACTACAAATGTAAGCCAGGGAAGACAGCCCTGAGGAGCACGGGCAGCCACAACGAATTCCTTCTCAGTGGTCATCTCAATGACACACCCACAGAAAAGGCATTCTCTAGGCCCACTTTCTCGACTAACGATGAGCGGTAAGTTATCCGAGGAACGACCCGAAGACGAGATAATCTTTGGTCAGCAGCAAACCTCCCTCCATCACGATCTTCATACACAGAGATTTCGAGGGTAAAAATCAAGCTACCCACAGCCAGCTCTTCATCATCAAGAATAATAATAAGGAATAACTGGAAATTTTGCCACTGGCCCTTTTCAGGGCAATTATAAGTATTAACGTTTCATACTCAACCATTAATTTCATCGGTTCTTTTTAGGGGCCACCTAAGTGTAAACTACCTTGCCAACAAATACATTTTTACTACCATTTCCGGAAGCGATTCGTCGACTTAAAGACTGTATTAACTAAAGACGGGCACTATTAAACCGAGTCAGTCATTCACTGGTAGACGTCACGAGCGGAGTTGTTTGTCGCCAGGCTGGAAAACCCGGTGACCGACGACCCTATATGTATTACCCTCTAGACTTTAAGCATTTAACCAGGAATCACCGATCTTCTCTAAGGTCTGCGCTGGAAGACCCTAACAGCTATGAAGAAAAAATAAACTTGAACCAACGGGACAGTCTCCGTCCGAAAAACCGATTTTTCTACCTTATTATCATATATATATCACCAAAACAACGGAGTCTGCAAAAAAAAAAAAAAGATGCTTTACACACCAATGTCTTCAACGTTTTACCAGAAGACGTTGGGAAAGAGCTCTACAACTAGCTGTAAAGCTTCAAACGTTGTAGTTTTCCTCCCGATAAATGTGGTGCTACAATTACAGTCCAGAGAAGATCACCCTGAGATATAGAGGCAATCACGTTTACTGGAAACTTCAGTCAAGAAAGAGTTTACGTAAGAAGCTCACCGGTTCTTTTCAGGATTATCTGACGTCCAACTAACTTGCCAACAAATATATTACAACCTAATAAAGTTAAAAAAAATTGCCCTTAAGGCTCACAAAAGTCTTAACTATACCAAAAGTCGAAAGAAGTCGAATTGGAAGAAAACTTCAAATGCATCTAATGAATACAATTTTTGGCGTCAAAAAATTGACGCCGAAAATTTCGAGATTGGAACAGCAGCGTCAAAATCGACAAATAAAGAATTCACTACGTGAGAGATTAGCTTTTCATTGTATTCTCACAGGAATCTATTACATCTTTTAGATTTTGAAGTAAGAGAAAATGTATTTGTATTTTTGTGGTGATCAAAAATGTAGAGATTTAGCTCCAGAACTTTGTTGATCTGGTAATAAAGTTGTTAGATAAGAGGAAAAAAATTTTTTTAATATTGTTTTTTGGCAGTTTTTAATTCTTAACAGCTTTAAAAAATAGCCCTTTTTTTAAATTATACGGGAGAAACTGCAAATCAACGGCTTTTCAGGGCCAACGATTATTTTATGGCATAAGGAATACACGGCACTTTTCAGCAGGATTAAATTTTCCTTACTTTTTACAGCTTTTTACCGGATCAAATTAACTGTATGGATTGCAAACAAATTTGTTTTTCGTGAGAAAATTTTTGTTCTGGGAAGTGTCAGGAATAGATGTAAAATTTTCAACTTAAAACGTTTTACATTATTTAATCAACACACTGTGGTTTTTCATTCAGTAAGTCTCGGGCGAAGCCGAGACGGGGGGCCACTAGTGTAGGATAAATTAGCATAAAAGAAAAACTTCTTATTTTTGATATTCTGTATGCTCAAATCTATACTTCAGAGCCATTATTTTTTAAATAGTTATTTTAATATCTTTTCATATATTTAAAATCTGAATATGTTTTTTATCCTTAGAACAAGCCTTACTCCTCGAGCTATCATTGCTAAATATGGTAATGTGCGATGTAATCTTACTGTTGATTTCTTAAGGATTTCGCTATCAAGATCTCGGCAACTCCTATTTCTCAATAGCTTTATTTAAACTTTTGGCAATTTTTCAGTTGATGTCTGTTTATATAATACTCGTTAATATTAACAATTAATGGGATTTGTCAACAGGTAAGTATGAAAGCAAAAAATTGAATTTAAAATAAAAAGAATACACTAATTTGCTTCTTATGTGGCAGCGTTTTGAGAAATGCAGAACGGAACTCGATCACGGTAAAACCGCAACTTACAACTACTTTAGTCTAGTTGTACTTAAATACCGTAACGGTTTTTAGGGTAAAGAGGTTGAGTTGAAATGTACAGATAAGAATTTTAATTTAGGTACAACAAAAACTTACTAAAATTGCCTAAGACATAATTTTTTCCTTTTGTATATATCTAACCAGCTATGATCAGGCTTGTAAATTAATAGGGTACACATTTTTTAACGTAGATTTTTGAGAGGTAGAACCTCTAGCATATTTGTTTGCCTTTTTACCAGTAGAAAAAATTGATTAAAAGAATTTACTATTAAATAAAGTGTAAATTATTGATTTTTAGTGTGTGGCAGGCTTGTGGGAAGACAAGAAAAATAACGTGAAGGCTGTAGTAAGTTGTAGGGGCTATGAGGGCACTTAAGNTCTAGGACCATATTTACTATGTATTGCAGTATTCCGGGATTTTCGGTCTTTTCTAGGACGTCCTAGAAAACTTATAGCCACATTGCATTCATCCAGGATCCTAGAATACTTAACCTTTATTTCTGGGATATCCTAGAAAATGAAAGTGCCATTTCTAGGATACGCAAATATACTACGAAGCTCTTTCTAGGACTCATCCTAGAAAGTTTTCTAGGATATTACGAAAAACTCTTGAAACTCTTTTATGTCTATAGTTCTTCTTCGGCCATGAAGCCATTCTAAGACATGTCTATCAACTTAAACTATTTTGTTAATGAGTTATTTACATCGTCTTTATATCTCTAAGATAGAAGTTTGTTTTATTTTTATGAATCAAAATTCCTCATGTCATGGATGGAGTATTTGTATGCGTAGAATTAATGATTTATTTAA